GGTATTATCCACACAATGGATTATTTGGCCATAAGAAGGAATGGAGTACCCATATATCCTGCAATATGGCTGGGCCTTGAAAGCAGGCTAAGCATATGAAGTGTCCAAAATAGATCAACGCATAGAGACAGAGATCAATGGTGGTTATTCAGAGCTAGGAAATAGGCAGGGAGTTAAAAGTGAACAAAATATTGAGGTGATGGTTGCACATACCTGTGAATACACTAAAAACCATCGAGTTGTACACTTTGAATTCTAGTCAATCTTTTTAAGTGTAGGGTTTTTCCTGTTTTTCCTTTTTAAGTGTAGGGTTTTTTCCCCCTGCAACCACCAGATTTTCCTTTTTTTTTTTTTTTTTTTTGTGGACATGACACAGAAGACCTATGGACCTTGCACTATGCAGCACCCCACTACGTCTCCTAGTGCTCCAGGAAATCCCAGGGTACAAAGGGTAGCTGAGAATTCTACATTCACTTCTGCCCCAGTTTTGTACTTGGTGATGCTCAGGGGCTTAAAAAACACCTGTAGAGATAGCCAGTATGTGGGCAGGACACAGAAGTAAGCCCAAAGACCAGAGCAGAAATGAATTTCCATGTGTAAAAGTAAATTTTATAGGTAGGATTGGTGATGGAATGAGGAATCAGACATAACCTCACAAGTCTTCATTCTCATTTTTCAGTCTAAAGCCAATTAGTGACCCTCCTTTCCCTCAACTGTAAGAGCATATCAGCAATTGTAAAACTTTATACACTGTCCTCTCCCAGGTTGGTAAAGGATTTGTTGTAGGACAGCTCTTCCATGAGTAGCAATCTACTATTACACAGCACAGTGCAGAGCCTATGACTGAACTGAGAGGCAAAGAAATCCTTTGCTATGATGACAGAAAATTAAAATAGGCAAATGAATGTTTCATGGATTCAGAGAGGAATGATATTTAAGTGGCAGATCATGCTTATTTTATTGATAAGAATATAGCTTAAAAAAGCAGGAAGATTTGTCAATAGTAGTAAAATAACAACAAAAAACCCCCAAACCAACCCTCTAATCTTTAAAGCTTACAAGAAAATGTGCAGCAAGCCAAAAATCCTAAGATTAGTCTTATAGTCTATAAGATGATCATAAGCAGTCTCTCATCGTCTTTACAAGATGTCTATCAAAAAGTCACTGAAGGTTTGGCACCTGTAGCTCAAGTGGCTACACCAGAGCTGGCGGGTTTGAATCCAACCCAGGCTTGCCAAACAGCAGTGACAACTACAACCAAAAAATAGCCAGGCATTGTGGCAGGCACCTGTAGTCCCAGCTACTTGGGAGGCTGAGGCAAGAGAATTGCTTAAGCCCAGGCGTTGGAGGTCGCTGTGAACTGTGATGCCACAGCAGTCTACACAGGGTGACAGCCTGAGGCTGTCTCAAAAAAAAAAAAAAAAAAAGTCACTGAAGACTTGCTAAACTTCATGATTCCAAAGAAAGTTTCAAATCTATTAATGTGATATAAGCAAATAAGTCAGTCCTTGTGATTTTATTGTCTAAGATACATTATCACAGTGGGTATAAATTTTTGTGGTTGGCTACTATTACCCTGTTTACTTATTTGATAATATGTAGTTATTAGAAAGTTTTATGCTATAAAATTTATTAAAAAGCACAGATTTAAAAAATGGTTTATAGTTACATTTCTGGCTGTGGTGCTTTGGATAAATTATGTCTTTGCTTAATTGCTTAATTTCTTCATAAAACTACCTCATTCTCATGGAGTTGCTGTGAAAATTCAAAGATAATTTATCTGAAGTGCCTGGGATAGCACCCAGTACATAAAAACATAATAAATGTTAGTTTCCCTTGATTAAATAGTATTTGTGATAAAAAGCTAAGTATCTGGCTCAGCAGCTAGGGCACCAGCCACATACACTGGAGCTAGCGGGTTCAAACCCAGCCCGGGTCTGCCAAAAACAATTACAACAAAAAAATAGCTGGGCATTGTGGTGAGCATCTGTAGTCCCAGTTACTGGGGAAGCTGAGGCAAGAGAATCACTTAAGCCCAAGAGTTTGAGGTTGCTGTGAGCTGTGATGCTATGGCACTCTACTGAGGGTGACATAATGAGGCTCTGTCTCAAAAAAAAAAAAGGCTAAATATCTGACCTATGGTTGGGAATGTTGACCCTTTATATACTGTTGTTTCCATAAGAAAGTAACATTTAATATATTTTGATTTATAATACCTTTTTATTACCCGTAAGAATTGTTCAGGGCTAAAAAATTCAGAGTACTTTAAAATTTTCATAAGTTTGGTTTAAAAAAATGTGGTTAAAAAACATGTTTTGAAACGTAACCATTATTTTATTACCTTTATATCCTTTATTTTCTGCTTTTCAAAATTGTCAATAGTTTCCTCAAGATGACGAGTTGTTCGGGTGGCATCTATTGTAGCTCTCTGTAATTCCGTTTCTGCCTACAAAAGTATCACCCCAACCAAAGATATAAAAAAATCAAATCAGAATTCATTTAGTTGCGTCTACTGGTATATGTTACCATTATAGCACTAGCTTTTAGGCATAACACTGTAAATTGTTCCATGTTATTATATTTTACCACATACAGTAAAATGATCTATATAAGAAGCACAGGCAGAAATATAGAACTTTAAGTCCGTCTAAAGTTAGACATGATTCATGATGTATTTCTACAAAATAATTGTTTTCTTATCACCCTTGGATGATTTACAGTATAATACTTTTTAACATTTTCTACTGCTTCTGTTTTACTGCCTGTGTCATTTACCATAAGGTCCTTTTTCTCCTGTCTTTCTCTGCTTCAGCCATTTCTATCCCCAAAAGAAAGGATTTATGACCAAAAGAAAGGATTAATGATTTAGTAACAAGTACTATTTTAAATTCTCTGCTTACCTCATAGGACTACTGGATGGATTAAATGAAATAATCTTTGTAAAGGACTATGGAGAGTGATTGGCACGTAGTAGAAAAATGTAGAGTTATGATAATTTCCACAATTGAGAATCTGATTATTTTTATCATTACAAGATAGAGGTATGTAAGTATACAAGTATATAACGGAAGACTCTATTTTACTATTACCAAGTCCCCAAATGCATTATGTTTCTAATTTTATAATAGTCAGGTAGAATAGAATATACATTATACATATATATCTATTTCATCATGGGATTTCTACTTGTAGATTCTTCTTTATAAACTAATGATACTACACTGTTCCTATCTGATTAATGTGCATTACAAAAAACATATACACTAGAAATTAAAAAATCAGATGCCAAGTCTAATGCTTTGCTTCATATACTCTGACATGTACTTATGGTCTGGATCTGTATACAGTCAGTGTGTTGGCCACTAACCACATGTGACTATTAGATTTAAATTAAATAAAAGATTAAAAACTGGTTCCTGTTAACTATATTTGCATTTCAAGAGCTCAATAGCAATGTATAGCTAGTGGCAACAGTACTGTTAAGTGTAGAGTATTTCTAATCTAATTGTGTCTTTAAGCATCTTATTCTTTAGGATAATATTGGTCCCCAAAACATTAATTATGAGAAAAGTTTGCATTTGTTACCAAAGTTCTATGACAGGTAATGCTTTGAAATTTGGCCCTTGCTTTCTTTTTCAAGAAAATGTATAGATTGGAACAAATAAAACAGCTTAAGAATCCATTATATGGTCTTGCTTTATTGTCTGAGCTACAGTGCAGTAGCTTCATCATAGGCTCCTGAAGAGAATAATCTCTTCAGTTGTATTTGTTTTCCCTCTGTGTGAACCCACAGACCTACTGCTTTACTGCAACCTCAAACTTTTCAGCTTAAGCAATCCTCCTACCTCAACTCCCCAATGGGCGTGCACCACCACCCCTGGCTACATTTTCTATTTTTGGTAGAGATGGGGGTCTCGCTCTTGCTCAGGCTGGTCTTGAACTCCTGGCCTCAAGCAATCCTCCCACCTTGGCCTCCTAAAGTGCTAGGATTACAGGTGAGCCACCTCATTCAGCTGGATCCATTTCTTAACACATCACTTTCATTACCCACCTGTGACTGAAATTTGTCATAAAGGAAAAAATACATTTCAAAGAGAACATAAGTTCTTTCAATGAGTTAAAATCATATACCCTTATAATTAGGTAGTAATTACAACTATATATTCATCATAAACTCTAAATAGGAATCAAAAATTCTCTGTATTGCTAGAGTAGGATTCTTCAAACTATAATCTCATTAGAGGAAATCCAAAAGGTAGAACTCCTTGGGACGGTGCCTGTGGCTCAAAGGAGTAGGGTGGCAGCCTCATACACCAGAGGTGGCAGGTTCAAACCCGCCCTGGCCAAAAACTGAAAAAAAAAAAACAACATAGAACTCCTTTGAAGATGATGAAAAATATCTTATTTGATATGTTTTAACCTTTTTGCTAATGAGAATACTAAAGAGGACTAATTCTTTAATAATGTTTACTATGTGTAACTGATGTAGTTCTTTACTTTTTTTTTTTGCATTTTGGCCCAGGGTTGGGTTTGAACCCACCACCTCTGGCATATGGGGCCAGCGTCCTACCCCTTTGAGCCACAGGCGCCGCCCTTAGTTCTTTACTTGTGACTACTTCCTTTTGACTCATATCTTTCCCTTTTCCATTTATTAATATTTTCATTTTAAAATTTCAAAGGGAAAAAAGAATAAAATTTCAAAGGGCAAATAGAAGTAGCTAAAGTAGGAAATAATGGGGAAAAAGAAGCCATAGCTAGGACATCTGTATCTTAACCTTCTATCACCTTCTAGCAACAAGTATTATATTCATTTCTGAAGGTCTCAAATTCTTTTTTTTGAGACAGAGCCTCAAGCTGTCGCCCTGGGTAGAGCGCTGTGGCATCATAGCTCACAGCAACCTCCAACTCCTGGGCTCAAGTGATTCTCCTGCCTCCGCCTGCCAAGTAGCTGGGACTACAGGCGCCTGCCACAACGCCTGGCTATTTTTTGGTTGCAGCCGTCATTGTTGTTTGGCGGGCCCGGGCTGGATTCGAACTTGCCAGCTCAGGTGTATGTGGCTGGCGCCCTAACCGTTTGAGCCATAGGCGCTGAGCCAGGTCTCAAATTCTTTATTCCTGCATAGCAATATACCCAAAATCACATAGCTCCTTTTAGCAGATAATATAGATTTCTAATATTTTTTCCTTTCACTGAAAAATTTTCAAAATCCTATAATGTACCAATTTGAATAGGAAGTGCTTTTGATTAAAATACTAAGTAATACATGGCTCTATGAATAAAGCTATTAATATATTAAATAGAATTAGTTAAGAATTTAAAATGACTTATAAAAGGGTAAGCCAAAATGGTGTTTTTTAAAACTGTGTTATTAAAAAGAAAAACAAACAAAAAAAGAAACTATGTTATAGGAAGCTTATTTAGAAGTCATTTGGACCTCTTTGACAGGGTAAGCAACCCAGGATTCTTCTTTACCCCAATCTCTTCTATCACGAGGACTCCATTTTATTTTGCATGTTAAGCTTTAACATCTAAATAGGTAAAATGTAAGGGTCTTTCTTAATAAAAGTTCTATAAAAATATGATATAGATTGTTCTTTAATTTTGGTCCCTGATTGCCAAAATACACAAGTTGCATATCTTACCCAGTGAGCAAATCGACTGACCTGCAGCAATAATCTCTTTAGTTGTATTTGTTTTCCCTCCAGGTGAACCCCTAAACCTGCTTCTTCAAGACTGCCTCTGTTCCACAACAGTGTTTACACATAGCGTCTAAGAAAAATCTTTGTCTTAGGAATAGATCCATTTCTATGTTGAGTACTGATACCAATAATCCCGATCAATCTTTCCAACTGCTCAGGATTCTAGGTATTACATTTTATCTGCCTTCATAAATCTCTATTTCCTTAACAAAGAACAAAACAAAATAAAAAATTTTGATCTCTGGCTTAATTTTTAGACACTCCCTGGCCCCTACCTTTATCTCTAATTGTCAATCATGGATTTTTTCTCTCTTTTTTTTTTTCTTGAGACAGAGTCTCATGCTGTCACCCTAGGGTTGAGTGCCTTGGTGTCATCATAGCTCACAGCAGCCTCACACTCCTCAGCTCAAGTAATCCTCATGCCTCAGCTTTCTGACTGAGATTATAGGTGTCCACCACAATGCCTGGCTAATTTTTTCTTTTCTTTTTTTTTTTTTTTTAAAGAGAGACAAGGTCTCACTCTTGCTCAGGCTGGTCTCAACTCCTAAGCTCATGTGATCCACCCATCTCTGTCTCCCAGAGTGTTAGGATTATAGGCATGAGCCACCACGTGGGGCCATCAGTCATGAATTTTGCAGCAGTCTCTGGTTTGTGTGACTTGCTGTAGTTTGCAGATTGTAAGCCTCAATGACAGTCTAGGTCTCCAATGGGCATTCCCAGGTTATTGACTGCCCATTTCTACCTAGTAAATAAAACATTGGGCTTATGTACCTTTGGTCCAAAAAGAAGGACCAAGCAATTAGCACAGCCCTAAGTCACTGCTCAAGGGACTTCCCTCAGGAATAGAGGTGTTCTGGAACTTCAAATCCTCAAAGAGCTGCCACTCCTGTGGTTTCTGGCTGAATGGGCAGTAATGACCTTAAGGAGGTAGGAAGGAGAAACATGTAAGAAGGAATGGGAAGAAGAGGCAGCAGGATGTTAGTACTTCTTACACAGTTCTACTTATCCCAGTTGCTGGCAATCAGCCAAGCACTGTTTGGTATGCTTCTGTTTAGTCATGAAGAAGGCACATTCTAGTTTAAAAAACATCCATGTTTAACATAAGAACCTTGTCACAGTAGACACTCCTGCTTAGATTAGATCCCTTTGTGTCCAGTTTGATCTCTTAAATCTGATGCTTACTGGATGGAAGTCACAATTGTGGTTTCACATAGCTGTTTTAGTTTTAAAAAATGAAAGAAATTCTACTGGGAAATTTTCTTTCCTTTTCTCAAAAGTGGGGCTGAGAAGGTGCTGATATATTAGAACATTAGCCATGACCATATGAATGAAATTTCAGAAATTTGAATTTACTCTTATAAAAACCTCTGCATTTGGCCAGGCGCAATGGCTCATGCCTGTAATCCTAGCACTCTGAGAGGCTGAAGTGGGTAGATTGGTTGAGCTCAGGAGTTCAAGACCAGCCTGAGCCAGAGCAAGACCTCTAAAAATAGCTGGGTTGGGCACAGTGGCAGGTGCCTATAGTACCAGCTTCTTGGGAGGCTGAGGCAAGATTACTCAAGCCTAAGAGTTTGAGATTTCTGTGAGCTTTGAGGGTGACAAAGTGATACTCTGTCTCAAAAAAAAAAAAAATGAGTGGGACTTTTTGTACTGGGAAATCTATTGTGGAAAACAATATAAGGGAATTGAATTAGGTGGCATAATCTCTTTAAAATTGGCTAATTTCTATAGCAAGAATTCCTAAATGCCTACATTTCTTTTCAATCTTTATATTCAAATTCTCTACTTATTTAAAGGTAAAAATGCTTATTTCTACATACATTTACTTTTGTACTGCATACCTTAAAGAACATTTTTTTTAAAGACCCAAATTCAAAGGATACAATAACATGTCGATCAGATGGGTTTCGCTGTCGTGTTCTTTCTAACTGAGTTAACTGCTTAGCTTCTCGATTCCTTGCTGTCAATGTTGCTTTGAGGTCATCCTGCAAATAGGCATTTTTTTGTTAATAAAAATTTCTGATTTAATAAATAAAATATATATACACTTTGTTTTAAGAATGAAAGAACTCTCTCTCTTTTTTTTTGTCCTGAGGCAAAAACCCAGAACTTTTAAAAGGGAGGGCCTATTGTTCCCTCTAAGACAACTGCGAGAGGAACTGTTGTTTTGTCCCATGCCCCATTACCACAGGAATTATGAATACTGCATAATTAGTCTATGTGTGTGTGTGAGGGTGTGTTTCTTTTAATAGTCTCTCAAAATAATGACAATTTCAATGTAAAACTATAACCATAATATATACATGTATGTATATATGTACATATTTATAATAATTTTGATTGCTGTAGCGGTTATATGGGTATATACATTTGTCAAAACTCAGTGGTCACTTAAAATGTGAAAAATGTGAAAAATGTGAAATTATATTTCAATAAAGCTTATTTAAAAAAAATAGAACTTTTGTGGCTCAGCACCCTTAGCTCAGTGAGTAGGGCACTGGCCACATACACCAAGGAGGGCGGGTTCGAGCCCAGCCCAGGACTGCTAAACAACAATGACAACTGCAACCAAAAAAATAGCCAGGTATTGTGGTAGGCGCCTGTAGTCCCAGCCACTCCGAGGCTGAGGCAAGAGAATTGTTTAAGTCCAAGAGTTTGAGGTTGCTGTGGGCTGTGACGCCCCAGCAGTCTACCCAGGGACACACAGTGTCACACATTTTGATAGTGTGACAAACAGAACTTTGACAGTGACAAACAGAACTTTGTCACACATTTTGATAGTCTAAGTAGTCTATTATCACCTACTTTGAAACAGCAATATACACTTATCTAGTAGACTAGTTTCTGTTCATATATTCTTCATGACCATGTTAACATTTTAAAGTTTCCATAATAATGTTTTATGCCCCTACAGTAGAATACTTAGTAAGCTCATTAAAAGTATTATTCTCAAATATCCAAGAAATGATCTTTCACAGTATGTAAAAAGAGTAACTATATAGTACTTAGTATTTTTTATTAAAAGTTCAATTAGAAAACATATACTCTTGGCTCATGTAGCTCAAGTGACTAAGGCACCAGCTACATAACACCTGACTGGCGGGTCTGAAATCAGTCTGGGCCTGCCAACAACAATGACAGATACAACCAAAACATAGCTGGGCATTGTGGCGGGCGCCTGTAGTCCCAGCTAGTTAGGAGGTGGAGACAGGAGAATCGCTTGAGCCCAGGAGTTGGAGGTTGCTGTGAGCTGTGATGCCACAGCACTCTATCCAGGGCGACAACTTGAGGCTCTGTCTCAAAAAAAAAAGAAAGCAAGCATATACTCTTTGCCCAAACAATAGGTGAATAAAATGGATTTACTTACCCGTTTCATTTTTACAATGGTTCCATAAGCTTTCAAAGGTTCAACTACTTTGGCTTCAAGTCTTTCAACCTATTGAAAATTATTATGAAATAACTGAAAAGAAACACTGACATATCAAAATTTAAATTCTGAAATAAAACCTATGCTGTTTAAGTGGAACATAATTGCTATACACATTAATCTTTAAAAATTTTTAAATTAAAATAAAAATTTTAAATTAAAATGCCACTGTTTAACCTATCTTTTAACTTATAAATAACAAGACATTCAACAGAAATTGACAAGACTCAGAATCTAAATTCAAACACATTAAAAACTGTTAAGCGGTACAGTAACAATAAAAGCAGAAAACTATCTGGTGAGCAGTATGACAAGAAAATATCTTAGATTTTTGAGGAGCTCATCTTTACCATACTATTATCTATTACTTTTTTACCTTAAAAAAGTAGTTTTGGAGTAAGTTTTAATACATCTCCACATTTAATATAGCTACCACTTTCTGTGTGTTGAGCATAGTATTGGGCAGATTACATACATTCTGTCTGAACTGTAATAGCCTAACTTTCTGAAAAAGGAAATTGAACCTGAAAGATAAAGCATACTAGAAAAATGTAAAGTAATGTAACTGTTGAAGCAAAAAGGCTTAGGGCTAAATGAATTAGTGGGTTTTTTTTTTTTTTTTGGTGTTTTTATTCTGATAAGCATTTTTGAATTATCAAAGAACAGAAAACAAAATAAATGGTCTCAGTGTTGCTGAGCTGTCAGACTGTATGTCTACTCTCCTTTTTACTTAGAATTAAACAATTTTTCTTAAACATTAGCGTTTTTATCACATTTTGAGTAATTTCTTTGCTAACAGCACTAGTGGCAGGCACAAAAGAGATCTTTTTTTAAAAGGCCAGTATATAAATATAGCAGAAGAAAAATAACGCTCTTGGACATTAATATGTTCTCTTAAATGAACATGTATTATTTTTATAGCAGGAAAAACTTTTTTATAACATGTTTATATAATGTTTCATTTCATATTGATTTTTCTTTACCATGTATATGAATGTTTCATTTTAAAAGATTTCAGGAAAATGAAAAATCAAGTTCCCATAAAGCATTTAAATGTGAGGAATCCTAATATCATGAGTATTTAGGATAGTTTAGTTTGTACCATTTCTAAGAATCCATACACTGAGCATTCAGTGTAAGGATTTGCCAGATCTTTTTCTCTGTTCTCCTCTTTGTTGCCTACCTTTTATCATTGTTCATTAGCATCTCCACCATTTGGTAAGCAAGGGAAATAAAAGGAGAGCAAAGGTAAATCAATTCACTTTGCTGTTTGATATAAGAGCATACAGTTTTCTACAAAGGGGGACTGAAATTACTGACTAAAATAGGATTTTAGGATTACCTGTGACTATAAATTATTTTTGAAACATTAAATCCTCAGTTATGTATAGTTGAGAGTTGACTTTATTACGGAAAAAAATGTCCTATGACAAGAACTCAATATTTTTCCAAAAAGTACCCCCAAATGTGATTACTACTGAAATTTTTGTATAGGTAACCATGATGGGTTCAAAGATTATTCTCATTTTATTTTATTTTTTTAATTGAAATTTCTGGTTTAGGTTTTAAAAAAGGACCAAAAGCACTGAGGAGAAAAGTACAGAAAAGCAACGCAGTTTTAACGGGGCAACTTCTGACAAGTTAACCTGTGTCTGGAAACTAAAAATAAATATAAAAATGTTTATAAAGTATTTACAAGGGGGGAAAATGAGCTTTTATAAAGAAAACAATCACAAGAACACCTCCCCTGCCATCCAAAGCAACACTCTCCTACAATGCTTCACTAATAGTTTCCTTCCATGATAGAAATCATAGCTTTTTGGTTTTTTTCCAGTCAGTGAACCAGGGGTCAACTTTTTATAGCATGGAAGTAGCAATGGTCTCTTGCCTATTTATTAATAGTTTATTCATTTACATTACCATCCCCAACATTTTCCATCTATTACCGGCACACAAGACGCAAATCATGCTTCTTTTTTTCCCCATGAGTACTATGAATACTGCTCCCTGTAAATGGCCACCCCATGGCCAGAAGTTGCCAAATAAAGTGGGGCAATTCAAGCCTTGAAGACATTCTAAACCAAGTTTAATTTGAAAACGGTAAGATAAACCACAGAAAGCATCCCTTTAATAGACTCACACAATGTTACAGACATGAAAACATTTCTCATCGAGTGTATGTTCACCACCGCAGTCGGAGATTACAAGTCAAAAGTCTTGGGGTTCCTCCATCCACTACTTCCTGGCTCATTCCTAACAATGACGCTGTGACCTCACTCCATACCTCTGCTTGTCGATAATCCTGGAGCTTGGCAAACTCGTCAGCAAAGTTTTTCAAGCCCTGCTTTAAATTTGGGGTCTCTGTGGAAGCATATACATTGATTTCGTTCACCAGGAGGTCTGCTTTGTCTCGCAGCCTAGCAGTTTTCCGCACATAGGCAGCAAAGATTTGGCACAGCTCTCCAAAATGCTTCTCCACATTTGTGACAGCATCTTGCAGTTGTTTGGTTTGAGCGTCCCTAGAGAAAAAGGTGATAATAAAGCAAAACATTCTCGTTAAAAACGAAAAGGCTTCACATTAATTTGATACGCAAACATTCCCGGGACATTCTGCAGCTAAGAAGGCCCCAACGATCCCTCCGTCTCCCAGGGCAGACTGCCCTTGTCCAGGACCCCGTTCAGGGCCCGGCCTCACTATCTGGACCGTGTAGGTACATGAGGAGGCCCCGGCTCTGCAGGCCGCGGCTTCAGCAAGGTGGTGGCTGCTCCGGCTGCTCGGCGCTGCGCGCCCCGAGCGCCCGGCTGTCTCCCAGGCTTCTGCACCGCCTGCGGCAGTGCGGGGTCCAGAACCTGGGGAGCGTGGATGGGTGGCAGTCGGCCGAGCCCCCAGGTTCCCCCGGCCGCCGGCGCTCGCTGCAGTCGGGGGAGACAGGCCCCAGAGCGCAGCGGGGACCATGCAGTCTCCGGCCCAGGGGCGGAATCCGGCGCCGAGGCCCCACGGAGAGCAGCTTCACTCCTCCCACCCCAGCCCTCGCGTGTGGGCCGCGCCGGACGGCTGGGCCTGGGGCTGTTACCGGTTTTCCAGGCTGCGCCTCAACATCTTGCCTCGCGCGCGGCCGGGGACCCTAGGCTGGGGCCCAACGACCGGCGCGCCTAGGCGTCCGCGCGCGCGCTGGGGCGGGAGCCGCGGTCACCGCCGCCCGGAGGCGGAGAGCCCGCCCCGCGCGCCGGCGCGCCAGCCCGGGCGTTTCTATGGAAACTCGGCGCGCGCCCTGGTGGTCAAGCCTGAGTCCGCCCGGGCGCAACTGGGGCGCGGGAAGGGCAAAGTGGCCAGGGACCCAGCAGGGAGACGGCGCGCCCATCCCTGCAGACCCTCCCTCACGCTCACCCACGCGTTCCTACCGCAAAGCGTAGGGGAAGCTTCGCGCCAGCTGGTGCCTTTCACCCTGAGAGCCCAGCTTACCAGACACCCTGTCTCCTGCGCTCCTAGGCGACTCTGAGCAAACAGGGGAAAAAAAAAAAATCCCATCAGCCAGTAACTAGGGGGAGGAGGGAGGAGTGAAGCCAAAGTTGAGCGGATCCGGTTTCTGCCTACGTGACCTTTAGTCTTATCCTCAGGTCGTCCTCCTCTGTGTTTGCAAACGTGAGTTCTTGGAAGCTGCTTTTGGAAGGAGCTGTGCTTGCTGCCTTTAACTCTTCATTTATTCTGCAAATATTTGTCGAGTTCCTAGTTGTGGAAAAGGTCGCACTGTGGTGCCCAACCCGAAGGGCCTGAGAGTTTGATGAGGAGACAGAGCCGTATGCCAAGATCAGTAACACATAGGCCACTTTGCTGTTTCCTTTGTACACCCATGCCCTTTAGGCCTTCTTGGTCTTCGCATGTCCTGCACTTCCAGTTAAACACCTGAGGGCTAACTTCAAACTATCTGCTGCAAGAAACCTCCCTGGGCTCCTCATGCACTGAGCTCATCCAAGCAGCGTTAGGGTCCCCTCCTCTGTAGTACACTTTGTTAATTTTGTGCTGTCTCCTGTAGTTTAGAGATTCAGCTCTTTGAGGCAGTTGGTTTGTGATTTTTTTTTCTTTTTTTGTCTGTCACCTGGGTAGAGTGTCCTGGTGTAGCTCACAGCAACCTCAAACTCCCTGAGTTCAAGGGATCCTCTTGCCTCAGCCTCCGAAGTAACTGGGACTACAGGTGTCTGCCACAACGACTACCTAGTGTTTCTATTTTTAGTAGAGACAAAGTCTCACTCTTGCTCAGGCTGGTCTCAAACTCCTGAGCTCAAGCAATCCACCCACCTCAGCCTCCCAAAGTGCTAGGATTACAACCACCATGCCTGGCCAGGAAATGTCATTTTGATTTTGTGTTCCTCAGTGTCTTGGGCTGCTCCATAAGTCTTTTGGACAAATGGCAGTCCTTAGACTTTGTTGCTTCTTTTAGAGCTCCCCTTATTATCTCATGTTATAATGTGTGCTTCTCTTTTCCTTTGCATTCATTCAGCAGTTTATCTATTCCAGGTATTATGCTGGGTTCTGAGGAGGAAGTGCTAACCTAAAGTCAGAACAGCCTTTGCTCTTACAGAGCTCACAGTCACTTGGGAGGGATAGGCACTACAACAAATAGCAGAAAATCCCAACTGCGGTTGGGCTACCTACAGTATCAGCTTCTGTTGTGTAATAAATCAGCACAAACTGTAGTGGCTTACAACAATCCTTTAGCTAGCTCAGGATCCTATGAGTGGGCTGGGTGGTTCTTCTACTCTGATTTTGCTCAGCTGAGCTGTTCCCTATCTTTCTGGCCATCTGGTGGGTCTGCTGTTGGCTTGATGTCTAGGATGGCCTCACAGGTCTTGGGTGGCACACTGTTTCTCATTCTCCAGCAGGCCAGCTGGGCTTCTTCACATGGTTTCAGGGCTGCAAAACAGTAAGTCAGGGCAAGTCCTACTGCACAAATGCCTTTCGAATCTCCACCTGTGTCATGTTTGTTGATACCCTTTTGGTCAATGAAAGTCACATGGCCTAGACTGGAGGACTCAGAAAGAGGACATTGGAAGTGCTATGAATAGGGGTGGCTGGTAGAGGAAGGAGAAGAATTGGTGGCTGTATTTTCAGTCGACTACTATGGGAAAGTACACTGGTAAAAGAGCATATCCTTAGTGCAGAGTTTTGGTTTGGACTTGGTTGGGGAAGGCCTTCATTGAGAAAATGGCATTTGGCTCAGGCACCAGCCACATATACCTAAGGTGGCGGGTTTGAATCCAGCCCAGGCCCACAAAACAGCAATGATGGCTGCAACAGAAAAAGAATAGCCAGGCGTTGTGGTGGGCGCCTGTGGTCCCAGCAACTTGGGAGGTGGAGGCAGGAGACTTGCTTGAGCCCAGGAGTTGGAGGTTGCTGTGAGTTATGCCACAGCACTCCACCCGGGGGGACTGCTTGAGGCTCTGTCTCAAAAAAAAAAAAAAAAAAAAAAAAGAGAAAATGGCATTTGAGCTGAGCTCCAAAGAGTAGGAAGGAGTTAACTAGGGGAAGAGGGCGTGAAAAACAGACCAGAGAGAGGAATAGTGTAGGCAAATTGCACCCCCACCCCCTCCCATCTATACCTAGAATTCCTTATTTCAGAAAATAACAGTATCCTCCAGCTGATTATTCAAGTAAAAAGCCTAGGAGTCATTTTCCCCAGCCACACTGGCAATTCCCATCTGTTCCACCTCCAAAACAGGTTCTGAATCATTCCATCTTCATTTCTTCCACATCCCCCTAATCCAAGCTATCATCATTCAGTCATACTTCACCCCCCTTGCTATCTCCCTCTACATCGACTATTACAAACTCCGTGCAACATCAAACATGTAAATCAGACCATATCAACCCTCCAAAGCCTCTTGGATGCTTAAGATAAAAAAATTAAATCCTTTCTTAGGCTATGAAGGCTGGATCTTATTCTCACCTACCCATCTCCCTACTCTTGCTGCCCAGCTGTGCAATAGTCACACTATCATTCTTTCTGTTCCTAGCATATGCAGATATGTATATCAGGGTTAGCTCAGAGTCCGTTCTGTGTCTGTTACTCTCTCTGCCTAGAATGCTCCTTCTTTAGGTCTTCATGTGACTGGCTGCTTCTTATCATACAGAATTGTGCTTAAAAATCACCTACGGAGTGATCACCAAATTGTTGTATCACTCTGTTTTGTTTCCTTCGGAGCACATATCACTCTTTGAAATTAACCTATTTGTTTATATTTCTGTTTCCCAAGGCTAGAATATATTCTCCATGAAATTATGTACTTTGCTACACTGCTGTGTTCAAATTATATTCTCAGTGTCACCTCAGTGCTCATAATAGGATCTCGATAATTAGTTCAGTTTATCAACAAATAAATAAATGAGCGAGAGAAAACTCCACAAGAGAGGGGGACATTAACATGTGTGAGAAAATAGAAGGAAGCCAGTGAGGCTAGAGTGGAGGAGGTGGTGTTGTGGGCTGAGATGTAGCTGGAGGGGTAGGTAGGAGCCAGGCCGTGTACGACATTCTGTCTATGCTACGGAGTTTGGAATTTGGTTCTTGTATTAGTCAACCTGCTCTGGAGAAACAGAACCAATAGGATATGTGTGTATATACAGCAGAACCTCCAAAGTTGACGACCTCCTTACAGTGACCACCTCCTTAAGTTGGCCTACTTTTCATAGACTAGACATGCACCACATGTACATATCAGTACAGAAGGCCTAGTTCCTTACATTGGCCACCTCTTTATGTTGATCAGTTTGTTACAGTCCCTTGGGTAGTCAACAACAGTTCTATTGTATACTATATAATTTTATTATAAGGAATTAGCTCAAATGATTATGAAGGCTAGGAAGTCCCAAGATCTGCAGTCCACAAGTTGGAGACCCCAGGAGGCCAATGTATAGCTCCAATCTAAGTTTAAAGGCCTGAGAACCAGGAGCGCTGATGGTGTAAATTCTGGTCTGAAAGTTAGCAAGGTTGAGACCCAAGGAAAGTAGGTGATTCAGTCCTTATTGGAAGGCAGAAAATAGTTGGCCCCAGGTCAACCAGACAAGAATAATTCCCTCCTACTCAGCCTTTTTGTTGTATTCAGGTCTTCAGTTGATTGGATAGGGCCCACCCACCTTAAGGGCAATCTGTTTTATTAAGTCTGCGGATTCAAGTGTTAATCTTATCCAGAAGCATCCTAATAAACATACCAGGAATAATGTTTGGCCAAATGTCTACTCACCTGTGGCCCAGTAAAATTGACACACAAAATTAACCAGCACAATCCTTATTGTAGTATCAATATGAAGGTATTTACATGTTAGAACAAGCTATTCATTATATAATTTTTAGAGCTTTTAGTAAATGCCTTATGTGTTGTATAGTAGTTGTTGAACAAATGCATGTTGAGCTAAACTCCTTTAGTCACTACCCAATATTTGGAATTAATGTGCTCTAGGAACCCTTCTCCTGAGATATATGCTCTTTGGTCTACTCTCCTGTCAAATAAAACTTTCAGATTTTTTGTTTCTTATTTTTTGAGACAGGGTCTAGCTCTATGGCCTTAGCTAGAGTACAGTGATATTACTGTAGCTCACTGCAACCTCAGATTACTGAGCTCAAGCAATTCCTCTGCCTCAGCCTCTTAAGTAGCTGGGACTACAGGCCTATGCCATCATGCCCAGCCACCTTTTCTATTTTTTGTAGAGATGGGGTCTTGTTACATTGCTCAGGTCCACAAACAGTATTTTAAGACATGTACCAACAGAATTGTTCCTAAGTCTTTTCACTACTTGAAAGCATTTTTTTTCTTATAGGCTACACTTTCTCCTAGGACACATCATCTCATAGAAGAGGAGCTGGGAGGCCAAGTGCGTTGGCCAAGGTCACGTGATGGGTAACATGAAGAGATAGTAAGAGAGCTGGAATTAAATTCTTTGCCTTCTCTTTCCAATGCTTTTTCCATTGCACCAAGATTTTTCCTTCCTTTCTATGATTTTTTGCAAATCTCTTAAACAAATGGAAACATCTGAATGTCATTCCATATTTGGAAGGAGGGTATGTGCCATAAAATCAGTTTATCATTGGGCATAGTGTTCCAAAATTTCTGGAAATTATTGTTCCAGATTATAAGCAATATAAGTCCTGACTTTTCTCAAACTGCTACATGATATTAGTACATTTATTCTGAAAACAGCACAATATTGTTTTGTGTAACATTGAATGAGCCTTAATTTAGTTAGCATGGCCAGGTGTGAT